CAGTTGGATTGGTCAGTAGTAATTGGGTTTTTGTTTTGTTTGAGTCACATTCTTAGTTCATCATTTGTATTCTGGCAGCAGTTGCTGAGGATAGTTAAGAGGAGTTTTCTCCTTGAGTATATCAAAAATAAACTTTCCATCTAGTCTTTGGTTGAAAGTAGTGGGTGCTTGGGATAAAAGACAGTGAGCAGAGTGTTGGTCAATAAATACCAGCGCACCCTATTTGATTATTGACATAATAACAAGCATGTATATTTTGCAAGTTGTTTGGTATTTTTCCCAGGCCAATAGGAGCAAGGAAAAATACAAACAACAAGCAACAAGAAAAATGTCCACATGTATTAGGTATTAAACCATCTAATAAGATTTATATAATATTATATTCTTCAACTGTTATTTTATTCGGTGGCCTCACTTTCTGTCATCCACTCAAATTATATGTTAAGCCATTGATATAATAAGGGATTTATCATTCTCCAGTAATATGATTTTGTTCCTCCCATTTCTGTCTGTATTTTTGCCCTGTTCCACAGTGTAATACAGCTGCATATTTTGAGCATCATGTTGCCCTTATATGGTAAAATGGCACAGTTGTGCTAAGTGGCCATATCAGGCCAGTGCTTAACTCTGGTTTCTGTAGCATGGAGCGACCAGGAGTATTTCTTAAAACTATTTTCCCCTGAAGGGATGCTTGTCCATTGCAGAGTTTCCCCAGCCAGCATTAAATTTGCCAGTACCCATTTAAACACTTTAGGGAGAAGAGAAGCACTGTAATAGTAAAGTGTCTTGCCTAAGAGCACAAAACAATTTCCCTGGCCAAGACTCATACCTGGACCACTTGATCCAGAGCATAGGTACTAACCATGAGGCCACCATGCCTCTTAGTGGAATAGTAGTGTTGTCTATAAGTCAATGATGTTGAGCTAAAATAAAAAACAATTTTTAAAATTTTAGAAATGACACAGTTAATTCTGGTTGAAATTTTTTTTTTTTTTTTTTCGTAGACATAACTTCTCCGCTGCTTCAACAAATCATAAAGGCTGCTGAGCTGTCCAAGTTTGCTAAGTGAAGATATGGTCATCTTCTCCACTGGGAGCGGTTGATGTAATCTCCATGAATTCCAAGGTCGAAGTTTGCAAAGTTGTTGTTGCTGTTTTGTTTGATGAGGAGAGATCATCAGATTCCATGTGGCCAATTCATAATCAATGATTACTTATAACTATTTATTTTTCAACAGTAATACAAGATATTGTCACTTGAATAAGTCTTCATTAATGCAGCATGCACCTCTCTCTTCAAAAGGGGAAACATTTTAAAAATTAGTGTCTGTATAGTTGTGGAGAAATAAAGAGATGACACCTTGTTGAGTGAGGCTCATACTGATGTAGTTTGCAGTGTAGTTGTCTAATTAGGGTGATTTAATGTTACAAGCTCGCAATAGTTTATCCAACCGGCCATGTCTGATTTAGAGTTAGAGTGCATGGTTCATTGAAATATTTGAAATGTTCAGCCACAAAAGGTCAAGTAGATGATAGTTAATGTTTCTTTTTGCATTTTTATGGACCAAGGTTAAAACAAGCTCAGTATTTTTTGTTTGTTTGTTTTTGTTGTTGTTGTTGTTGTTGTTTTTTTTTTCAGTGTAGATGGCTTGATATATGAGCACTGTTCTTCTCTTTTTTTTCTGAAAGCTTTCATCTTTTGTGGCTCTATCACTCAAGCGTTTTTCTGACTTGCACATTCACTTTAACAACTGGAGGTTACGGTGCTTAACGAATTTTACCATCAACTGACGCGCGTGCAATTTCCAAGCACTGAACGCGGGAAACACGCACGCCGGCTGCGCGCGAAATACCCACGATTGAAAAAAAATATTCCTTTCATTGTATTTGATTAACCTGTGCTAAATCCTTCAAGAGTCAAAAGTTTCAAATCAGGGGGGGCACTTGGAAATCTAACAAAACACTTACTCGTTTTCGGAAAGAGACTGCGAAATTGGACGTTGCTGCTGTTTTAACGTGAGATCAGGAAAACGGGCCACTAACAAAAAAGAGCTGAAAAATGGTCACAAAAGAATTTTCCCACCTTTACCCAAAGAAAGCATTAGGGGTGGTTAGATCTTTTTTCGCTAATGGTTTTTCGGATGCTTAATGAATCTGAAAGCAACGGATCCGTAATAACTATCTCTTTTTTAAAATCCTTTCGTCACTTTGTTGCTCAAAACTCCCAACGTAAAGACAGCTACTCAGGAAGATTAGTTTTAAGCTGAAAAGATTCAAATGCACTTTGGATTCAAAGAGGCTGTCCAGTTCAGAGCACATTCGACCATACGTTAAAAGAGCGGAAGCAGAGAACAGAAATATACAAAAAAAAGCGAAGAAACAACTTGTGTAACTCCTATTTTTTTGGACTTTAAAATGATTGGCAGGTCAAATTTCACGTATGGTAAAAGTTTTGAAAGATTTCACAAAGGAAAATCGGGGCCGAAACTACCGCTGTCCAACACCTCCCTTTAAACCACTGAAAATAACAGTCCGATTCTTGGTTATTGAATTGTTCACTCTTTTTGGGATATTCACAGCACAAAACATCGTAAATTCTCTATAAATATAAAGTGCCAGCACGTGCGTCATAATCAGGCTAAAGCTTTACGGAACCACCCTAACCCCCAAATTTTTCGAGAAATTTAGTTTTTTCCGATTATTAATCGCTGACCGTAAAACTAGCAATTGTTTATGACATGGACATGACGTATGAATAATAATCACAAGTACAACGAAAAACTTAATAGGTTCAGGCTGTCATTTATTTTCTTAAGGCGTAAGAGAACTCGGTCAGTCAGTCAGTGAGTCAGTCAGTCGGTTCCTCAGTGAGACAGTCGGTGAGTCAGTCAGTGAGTCAGTCAGTCGGTTCCTCAGTGAGACAGTCGGTGAGTCAGTCAGTGAGTCAGTAAGTCGGCCGGTCAGTAGGTCAATCAGTCAGTCGGTCATGAATAGTCAGTCAGTCACCCATGCTCAGTCACTCATTTACACAGCCAGTCAGCCTGTCAGCCAATCAGTCTAAAGACTTCGTTGCCTGAGGTCAATTGTCATCTATGGCAGTTTCTTGCAGACAATTCCGTTAGGGAAATCAGACCGGTAGTGACAATCTATATCATTCCAGTAGCCTGATGCGTACTTGGGCAGATGTTGTCCATTATTGATCCACATTTGAACGCATGGTTCGTTTGCGTTGCCATTCGGGTGCTGAGGGGCCCAACTCTTGTAAACAGGAACTGAAAGATCGGTCCAGTAAAATCCGTTTGTATTCCACTTCAGCCCAATCCAGATTTGCTTCAGAGACGGAGCCAATTTTCTAACGAGGCTCAAGACAAACTCCTTTTCTTCAGCACTGTTAATTTTCACCAGATCTGCGCTAAGCGAGCGGCACTGTACCTGAGCCTGAGACCAAGACTTAGTGGAGGTGCTAACCAGATAACAGTAGTAATTAAAACGTGTCCAACCACTGGGGCATGGGTTGCCTGGGAACGAATCAAAAACGTGAAATTTAGCTGTATGATAACGAGGCGAGGCGTGGGAGGGAAGGGGGGGGATACCATTCTTCCTTACCAGAGGCTCGCGAAAAAAACGCTTGACTTGATATCAATTACCCTAAGCACAGACCGCCCAAGCTCTCACAAGGAACACAATTTGCATATCGATTTATAAGGATTTATATGGGATTTTCCACAAGATATCCATGGAGATAGTTAAAAATGAAAATATTAAATAAAAATGGCTTACCTTATTCCATAAGTGTGTTGTTTGCTCCTGGTGTCGTTATTTTACCCATTTAACTTGATTTAAGCGAGTTTTTTTTTTAACCCTTAGCCATTTACCTCCCCTACGAAGGTAACTCGTTATACCGTTTGTAATGCCGGCGAACATGTTCATTTTGCCTCCGAGAAAAGTTGCTTCTCCGGCAAATTCGAAGTTTAGAGCTTAAAACAGCGAAAATATGTAGAATTTCACGCGATATCATGTGTCCTTGTTTACTGTTGAACTTACCAAACGCATTTTCGATGTTTTCCAGTACACCGCGGGGATGTCGTTTAGAACCACTTGGCAAAGCTAAATAGAGAAAAATTAAAAGTTTTGAAGATCGGTCGAAGGCAACTCAATTCCTTTTAACTTGGCTTAAGTGAGTAATGTTTTTTACCTCAGCAATCAAATCACGATCACTCAGCTTGAGGGAAACAGTTTCAAAAATAAAGATAGGAGGGCGATTTTCTGAATCACGGGCGATGCGCAAAACTTCTGATCGACTTCATCGAGTCCGTTGCTGTCTTAGAAATTTTAAAACGCTAAATGTTAAAAAAAAAACAGGGATGAAAATAAAAAATGGATAAACAAACTTATCGCTAACGTTCTGAGTAATTTCAGAACGGCGAAGACTTTCAAGCCACCATTTAATAAACAAGCTCTCATGGTCGTCCGAAAAAAGTCTCCGTAAGGGCAGCAAAAACATCTGAACCCTTTTCCCCTACTGTACGTCAGCTTTACCTGATGCGCTGGCTGTGAAACAAAGAGCAACGAAGAGAAACAGTAGAACTGCGAGGGCTTTCATCTCCACGTTTGTTTCAGTGTTGTGAAGATACCTTTACTTGATCACTGGGCTCGAAAACAAACCAAAGATCTGAACAATCAGCGCACGAATTCAGTTAGATGACGTGACGACGGGGTAATATACTGCCTATCAAGCAAGAATAAACATGTACTCATACCTATGAATAAACAAGCTTTTGTCGACAAAAACTCAGTTCATTAGAACATAAGCCTTAGTTGAATCAAACTCTTTATTTGATTTGAGCCATAGTGACCATATGACGGGCGTCGTACCCCTTTCCGTAGTTGTGCCCGGGCGAGGTCAGCGTAAGGGTTTCATTTTGGTTAGGAGTTACTTTTTTCAATGTCACTTTTTTTAATTACGTGTTCATAAAACGTTGCTTGCGTGACTTGATTTGGTTTCCAGTTTTTGCATATATATTAATTGAAATGGCTATGGTTTTAAAAAAAAAAAAAGAAGTTGGATTATTGTGGGCGGCAGAAAAATTTTGCATGAAGCAAAATCAAATCTTCGGACAATGGACTGATACGTCCATACCAAGTGAGCTTGTGAAGCCTTTCTCGTTGATATGTAATTTTTTTTTATTTTTTTTCTTCATTGCTCACTGGACCGTAAACTAAGCACTCCGTGTTGTGATAAATCGAAACACTCGATCCAATCTGTTTACGATTTTCTGTAATTAGTTTTTTTCCTCAAATTCTATGCAACGTGCATTCATGATGTTTTGGTTTAAGACCGGTAATTAATTATCGCGTATGTTGGGGGGTCGGGGGGTAGGGTTTGGAAGATTTTAGTTGAGTAATAATAAAAATTTTCCTAATCTGGCCTCATTGGCAGTAAATTTTCCATACGATAGTCCCCCCTTACTACTCCGTTGGCGATGAATGATTTCCCCGTCCGTTCCCCGGCCCCTGGAAATCACGCGACCCCCACAAAATAATCCGACCTTCCAAGCGATACATAGTAAACTGCATGGTCCTTTTGCTTTTGCTTGTCACGAGCGGTTTGAAAACTATTTGTTTCAAATTTGAGCTCTTTGAAGCGTTTGAAAGGTTGGCACAGTAAAAAGAGCGGGTCCTACGGGCATTCTTGTTTTTTGATTGTTAAATTTGCAATGCCAGGTTCTTGCTCAGGGACTGCACAATCGAAACGATCCAAAAAGGGAGCGACGGAAAAACGACAGGCACAAGCCGGCCCAGAGGGGAGGGGAAGGGGTGTTTGATCAACTCCTGGTCCGTAAGCTAGAGTATTATAACAAAAAGTGATCGCCACTTATGGCAGAAGGTTTATAGGTGTTCACATCAACAAAGTGAGGTTTTTAAGCGCTCCTGTTCCAGAAAAGCCCCCCCTTACCCCCTACTGCGTAAGCACCCTCATTCCGAGAAGTATTATGCAACTGGCAGCACCCGTGGGCAATATGAGGTGAATCGATCTGTTCTCAATTCTCATTGGCTATCCGAACGGGAAAGATGGGCCCATCTTACCCACTCAGACTCGCAACCGCAAGAAAAAGATTGCGTGGAGCAGTTCGTTAAATTTTTCATTGTCGGCGATGGAGTCCCAAATTAAAAAAGTGAAGAACAAAGAAAAAATGTAACGACTTTTATCGGATTATTGTGTCACAAACACCGTTCGATTTCTTTCTTTGCTTTCGAAATAAACGATTCATTCTGGATTCTTTATAAATCGAAACTTTTTTTTTTGCTAGAGTGTATTCCCTCCATTATAATGCCAATGTATACTGTATATTTGATACTTTTACAGTTTCTGCTATTGTTTCTTTTTGAATAAACATGAAAACTTTAAAAAACGATTGCGTCCAACCATACACAGCTTATGTTCACCGTACGGTCTTTATCATGCAATTTGCGCGGAAATCATATCCTGGCCCTTCCCTGACCCAAAAACAACGACTTACGGTCTGCACTAGCACTCTTTTTCATACTTAGCTAGCAAAATATGGAACCCTCTCCCAGACACTTTCAAAACACTGATTAAATTTTCTAAAATTCAAGTAGGCGTGATCCTCAGACATGAAGCTTTTCCACAGTAGATCTACAATTTATATTTCCCTCTGCATGCATAATGGTGTAGATAGTTTGTATAAAATATTGGAACTGTAATATAGCATATTTTATTTTATTTTAGCTTATTTTCTTGAAGATATTCGCTCCACAGTAGATCTATTAGTTATAGTTCCCTCTGCCTGTATAATGTTGTACATAGTTTATAAATAAAATTGGAATTGTAATATAGCTTATTTTAATTTATTTTATTTTAGCTTATTTTCTCGAAGATGTTGACTCTTCAGCTACTCTGTAAATTTCGAGCATAAATAAAGTATATGTATATGTATGTATGTATGTATGTATGACCGTCTCCGTGGAAACGGTGCGTACGGCAATATACGTACAGACCAAGTAAAAACCAATCAGAAGGATCGGATTTACCTCAGCAATGCACATACCTTGCGACATAAGGATAACACTTACTAATAATCACCTATCATACAAATGATTTTTCGTTTGAGTGAAGAAGGATTGGTTATCAAGCTTTAAAATTTGAACATCCGTTTTGATCATTCACTGAGACACAAAAAGGGGTATTTCTGCGTATTTCAAACCAGTAAACGCTATCGGGGAAGGATTTATATGCTAAATATCAAACGAGTAAATCTCTTTTGATAAAGGCTGGGCAGGTGCTTTCAAGGACGAAGCAATTTATGTTGCAATCACACATGACCTGAAGAAAAAAAACACAAACGACTGCAAAACGATGGTGAAAACGATTTTAACCGAGAATGGAACACAGACGCAGGCATTTGGAGAACTTCGATGCTCACCCTCTTTGGTAGGTGGACTGCAACTTCAATCAATTTCTTTTTCAGCGGTCAACATTTTCTTCGCTGTCACAGCATTTCTTGGGAATTTTCTCATCATTGTTGCCCTTCGAAAGGAAACTTCCCTCCATCCGCCATCCAAACTCTTGCTTCTTTGTCTGGCGACAACTGATCTGTTGGTTGGTCTTACAGCTCAGCCACTCCTTGTTGCTTACTGGATGTCCATAGTATACGAGCACTGGAACCTTTGCAGATCTACAAGGGACGCTTCCTACATAACAAGTTATTTTTTATGTGGAGTGTCGTTGTCAACGATGACAGCCATTAGCGTGGACAGACTTCTCGCTCTGTTGTTGAGGCTGAGATACAGAGAAATAGTAACTTTGAAGCGCACCTACATCATAGTAGCAACTATTTGGGTTTTACCGAGCATCGCTGCTTTGTTTAACAGTTTAGATTACCGTCTTACTTTATGGGTCAGCCGTTTAACCATATTAGCTTTTCTGGTAACCTCAGTCGCCTCATACACAAAAATTTTTCTTGCTCTCCGTCATCGTCAGGTTGAATTACAAGATCATGTTCAACAACAGCCGCGTCGACAAACTGCGTTGAACATGATGCGATACAAAAAGGCAGTGAATAGTGCGCTGTGGGTGCAATTATCATTAGTTGTTTGTTATGCACCATATGGTATAATAGAAACTGTTATCAGCTATAGTAAGACATATTCATCGCATTTATTCGTTTTATGGGAAATTTCAGTCGTCTTAGTATACTTTAACTCAGCGTTCAATCCGTTTCTTTATTGCTGGAAGATTCGTGAAGTAAGACAAGCAGTGAAGCAGACAATCAAACAAACACTTTGCTGTTCATGGAGTTAGATCCTTCTCGGGTTATAAAAAAGGGAGAGTAAAGCCCGTACGCGAGCCATCAGGCCAGCGCTGACAGTCTTCGGTATCCGTAACATGAAACGATCATGATCAGGTGTATTTCTATTCCCCCTGGATGGGATTCTCGGGTCCATCGCAGAGTTATTCCCCAGCATTAAATTCGCCCGTACCTATTTAAACACCTGGGTAAAGAGAGAGACTGCGAGAGTAAAGAGTTTCCAGGAACAAAGCAGGTCTCCAACCTGGACCGCTCGATCCGAAGTGGAGCGCACTAACCATGTTGCTTATCCTATTTATTAATTGTCTCAAAATTATTGTCTATCAAAATTATACTATTTATGATCAGGAGTATTTCTATTCCCCCTGGATGGGATTCTCGGGTCCATCGCAGAGTTATTCTCCAGTATTAAATTCGCCTGTACCTATTTAAACACCTGGGTAAAGAGAGCGACTGTGAGAGTAAAGAGTTTCCAAGAACACAGCAGGGCTCCAACCGGGACCGCTCGATCCGGAATGGAGCGCACTAACCACGAGACTTATCCTATTTTTTAATTGTCTCAAAATGGCATAAAAACAAGATTGCCTCTGGATGTTGAACGCACGTCGGATTTGTTATTGGAAAGGAAGGGCCTATCCACACTAGCGAAAAACATGTTTTTGTAGACAAATTTTCTCTCATCACCAACGCTTTACAAGTGCGGATAGTTTGTCGCGACTTGACAAATTTTGGTCGAAGCAGACAAATTTTCAAACGTACCGCCGACAAATAAACAAAACCGTGACAAACTTGTCGATCATTTGTCGTAAGCACTAACACCAGTGTGTTAATTGAAATGAGTTCAGTTTACCAAAAGACTGCAGTAATTGTCTTTCGTTGCGAAACTCGCGGATTTTACAAATTCAGACAAATTAAGATGAATCTTGGTAACTGGAGTTTAAATCCATACGAAAATTAAAGCCGCTACTCTTATGAGCTGGTTAGGCGCTGACTATTAATTAATTAATTATGACTATCAAGGGAACAATTCACTTGCAGCGGGGCAAGTTACAACGGTGGAGTGATTATCCGGTCGCCACTTTACCAGTCCAACAATCAAGCAGTAGAGGTGGCACAAGATCCAAAAGTTCTCACTCGAAGCAAAGAGAAAGGAAAAGCTTAATTGAATACATTACTATGGAATAATAGTATTGGTGTTATTTTTGGCTGTTGACCGAATTTGACAGCTTTGACAGCTTCAAAACTTTTAGTGCGGATGCAACTGAGGAGATAATATTTGTCTTGACAAAATTTGTCCTTCGATTTTGTCGAGACGATTTTAGTTTTGTCTGCCAGTGCGGTCGGCTCGAATATTCTTTAAGGCACAATATTATTTGGGAATAAACACTGCCTCTAATTATCAAAGGCAATTAGCAGGAAATTTTTCTCCATGAGAACCGAAGAATATTTCTATGGTTCTGTTAATTCATGGTTTTGTTAATTCTAAAATTTAGATCTATGGAGGGACCTTTTAGAGTACATAAAAGGAATAACAAGTCATAGAATTAATTGTTGAAACGAAATTAATGAAGAGTTAGAATTATTACAATTCTAGGCCGGAAGAAATTGGCATCTCCTGTGACACACAAACTTTACTTATCAGATAAGTAAACATTACTTCGGAGGTGTCTCTGTATAGGTAATTAAGAAAGTAGAGTTTACGTGATCATAGCCTGGCAGGTGGTGTCAAGAGAGAAATCTCTCTCGTTCTATGCAGTATAAACTACTATCACGGAAAACGAAACTGTTAAGTACGTAATAAATGAATAAATGATGAAATATACTTTTTTTTCTAAATACATTTTTTCGCTCGTTTCTAAGAATTAACATTGTCCGTTTTAAAATGTTAGTTTTATATCCTTTTCAGAGAAAGGTGATCACAATCAATATTTATTTTTTATGCTCGTGCGATTGCTTAAAAATGATTTGCGCAAGCAGGGAACGAAAACAGAACAAATTTAGCAAAGAAGAACACATATTATACGTAAATTTGTTATCTACAGTTTTGAGACAGTTTGCCTCAGAAGGGAGAGTTTTCTTTTTCCAACGTAAACACTAATGACACAATTTTCTATGTATGTCCTTTATGTTAATCAATATCTACAGCAACACGCAAGTTATTACTTTCCTTTTTTTAGAAGTAAATGGAAAGTTATGTAACGACAATCTAGAGAATTTTATGTAATCAAGAGAATAAAAGCAGTTTAAATTCTCTTGATGGAATTTAGCCAAAACGAGAGGTAGCTGTGTTGCAAACTATTGAGAAAATTGTGCTCTCTCGTAGACTTACACAATCGGTTTAAAAGTGTCGCGTATATTCACTAGCATAATATACCGCTCAGATTTGCTCCTTTCGATCCCTATTTCTCCAGTAAACCTGTAACAAGTTTGAGAGATCAACACTATTCTGCGCTTTTAAAAGTAAGGCCTCCCTAAAACTAATAGACCCGTTAATTCCCTACTATCCCGGCGATATGCACATGCACCATGACCACCAAACGCCATCGCTTTCCATAACATTACACGACCTCTTTATGCTAAGTGTAGTAGTCCGCTGACTAGTTCTTTAATGATGTTTCAAACATGGCGGTAAACAGTGGATGGCTGGAACTTGAAAGCGATCCAGGTTTATTATTCTGTCGTTTCCGTTTTTAGATTTGATTCTTGATTCGTCAACACAACTAGACATAGCAGTTTAATCAGGGAAAAAATTTAACAGAAATCTTCCTCTATCTCCGACTTGTTTAGGGCTTTTCAGTTTGCTGATCGAGGAGTTTGGTAAGACGTAGAAAAGTAATTATGTGAAAAGTCATATTTCGACAGTAGATTTGTGAAAGCGCCCTTTTTAGCGATATTTATCGTAGGGATCCTTTAAAAAAGTTAATTGCGTCGTTGAATCTAAGCTTTACAAAATCGCGCTCTGTAATTGGAAATAAGATGTACGCGCGACCTACTTCAACGTAAACGGCCGTTGTGGGATTTGAAAGCCAACGCGGCAGCATTTTTCTTCCGATGATAAGTAAAGCGCGCATACGCCTTGCACCTCAGTCAAAACGATATATCCTAGGCTCTCATAGCTGAGATTTGAACGATAACTGGTCGATAAAATCATGTTTTACAATATTTCTGTCATCTAACGTCAACAAAGAAGAGGGTCGTGCCAATATTGTACTTGCCTTGGCATAACACTAGTGCCAGTGACAAATATTCCTCATCTTAAGTGTCTTTTTCCGTGCTTTTGTAGAAATAACTTAAGAATTCTTTGTTTTTTAATAAATCATCACCAGAGGCATAAGTTGTAATCATGACAGTCATTGATGATAATTGTCTTTGCTGCAGGCGTCAAGGGAGCTCAGGTGGAGGAGATTTACGATTTATCCAAGCCATTTAGAGGGTTAGTTCAGAGAATTAATGGTGTTTGTTTCTTTTACTCAAGTACATTTTGCTTGGAAAAAATTTAAATTATAGTCTGCACACACCCATATGTTACTGCCCCATATGTATGAGATTGTTGGATGCTGCTTCCACTGGATGAGATGCTAGTATCTCTTAAGTTTTCTTTCTCCCAGTATTTTGGTAGGTTCCCAAAGTCAGATGGTTAGCAGCCTCCCAGTATATTTTGCCAGGTTTCTTAGAGTTTGCTGAACTCTTTACCCTGTAAGGGTAAATTATTGTCCAATAGCTCAACACAGTGAGCCGTGGACCCAGCGGAGGCTAACTACAGGGTTTGCATGGGTCCTGGAAAACCTGGAAAGCCCTGGGATTTTATGTTGACATTTCCCAGGACTTTTCAGTCCTGGGAAAAGACTGCAAGTCCTGGAAAGTTCTGGAAATCTGCTTAAATGAAGTAATAAAGTTTTCAGAATCAACGTTGTAATAAATGTCCACCCCCCGCTTAGCTCAATTGGTTAGAGTGTCGGATTGTGTTGTGCAGGAGGTCGAGGGTTCAAGCCCCGGCTGGACCAATACTCATGGTCTTAAAATAACTGAGGAGAATTTGCTACCTTTCTATAATATCAAGAAATGGATAGAGATTCCAGTCTTCTCAGATATGGATGAATAAACCGTAGACCGGTCTCCAGCAGGGTTAGGGCTAGGAGATGTTAATTTCCCACGCACAAGACTACTGTGTGGTGGATGTCCTCCCCTGGGGTCAGATGGGTAGGGAAAATAGCAGGTCCACATCAGCAAAATTGCTGCCATAAACTCAACCTGCTCAAACAAATAAAAGATGAATGAATGAATGAGTGAATGAATGGATGAGTGAATGAATGAGTGAATGAATGAGTGAATGAATGAATGAATGAGTGAATGAATGCATGCATGCATGCATGAGTGAATGAATGAATGAATGTAGACTGAATGTATGTAGACTGTATGTATACTGTAAGGAGAATTGATTTTGAAATCTTGGGAATGAAAGGGTTTAAGATGAAATTTGGAGTCCTCGAAAAGTCCTTGAAATTTGTTCTGAAAAAAGGGATGAACCCTGTAACTAGTAAGCTTCTTTATATTGAAGACTACCATCAAATGTTTTTGGCTTTGAGCAGTCAGAACCTTAAAAAGACGAGAGTACAGTATTACTCAAAACAGTTAAATACTGAACCTTTCTGTTTTAGGCCTGTTTATGGATTCATTTTCCTTTTTAAATGGATTGAAGAAAGAAGATCAAGACGTAAAATTCAACCCTTAGAGGAGATGTTTGTGGAGGATGAAGAGATCATCCGAGACATATTTTTTGCCCAGCAGGTAGTAGAAAAAGTTTTTAAACTCCTTAAACTCCCAGGATCTGTTTTTAATTCTTCTTCCTGCTTGTTTGATTATCCTCATTTGGGTTATAACTTGTGTTTTAATTTCTTATTTTTTCACTAGGTCATCCCAAACTCATGTGCTACTCACTCGTTACTGAGTGTTCTTCTTAATTGTACTCATATTCACCTGGGTGAAACTCTCAGCAGGCTGAAGGAGTTTTCTAGTAAATTTGACCCAGAGGTAGCTATTGAATATTCTTCAAGTGTAATCCAACTATAAGATATTTTTTTGCACTAACTTGTGGAACTTGAAAGTTCACATGCTCCAGCTTAAACAGGAGAACACCTGAGTTTGTTATATCTCTAAAATACTACACTTATATGTGTACCATGAGTGGTTAATTTAGTGGGCTAAATTATGGCTTACTAAAGTTTGTTTGTTTAAACTTAAATCTCTCCCCCCCATCTTTGTTTGATCGAAGAGATGTAGAGTCAATATCTTACTAACCTTGTTTTCTTGGTCCATACTGTAAGTTACACTTCCTTTTATTTTTTCCACATTTTACCCTTGGGCCATAAATCCAAACGAAAAAAAACTTGGTCTATAACTTACAGAGCAGACCTCAAACTCGGTCAGTAAGAGGTATCTCATCCTATTTGATACTACTTTTAAATCAATAGAGGTTCAACTTCATCACTTTTGTTTTTCAGAACAAGGGATATGTGATTGGTAACTTGCCAGAACTGGCCATGGCTCATAACAAGTTTGCTAGGTGAGTTATTAAGCCAGAGATAATGTAAGTCAGGTATAATTACACACGTACAGTCTAACTGTACGAAGTCAGTCTAACTGCAGAAGCATTTTACTGTATTTATCCGTGAATAAGTCGACCCTTTATGACCAAAAACTCAGCCAAAAAAATCACCCCCTACCTATACTCGGATCATAGACAAAGACTTGACCCAAGCAATCCAAGAAATTAGCATGACAATTGCCTGAAGTCCATTAGGAAATTTGGTATATCAAGTAAGTTGAAATTCAAAATTGGCCACCGTAAAGAGTTAAATTATTAGGAAAACGGAGTTCACAAAACCAGTTCTAGTTGTGTTTGAGTTTCATCAGTTTTCAGTGCATTCTTGATTGACAAAAAAGTTTGAAATAATAAATTTTATGTGACTTAAACAGAAACCTAGTGGAGCTGATTTCCATTGTATCTTCTAATCTGTAGGGCAGACATTTTTCCTTACAGCTTTGCTGCTGTTTTTGGTGCTGAATTCTCATTTTCATTGAATGATTACAGAAGCTTTAAGTTAGTGACCTTTAACTTGACAAATGCTGTTTTCTCGCGCAGTCTTGTTTGTTTCACGTGGACTAATTACAGTATGTTATTGTGTAGTTTCCAAGATGGGGGTGTTTTCATCAAGTGATCCTTTGAAGCCCTTCAGTGTTCCTTCGGTCTACTAAATCTCCTTTCAAAGGTTATTTAAATACGTTGAAGATTTCATTTTTGAAGTGATTCATATGGTAAATTACTTCAGTCTCCGGTAAATTGAAGTGCTCGTATATGCTTAAATCATGAATTGTGGTGATGTAAACAAGGGCTACTAAACTTCACTGCATACGGTTACATTTTGCTCTGCAGTTTTTTTTTAATTCACTGTGTTTTCAATACATTCTCAAAAAAAAGAGATCAGCCATTTGGGAAATTTCTATCAGTCTGAATTTTTCTTTACTAGAAATTATGAAGAATCCTATTTTTGACCTTGAAAATGGGGGGTTGACTTATACACGGATAGATACGGTAATCCCCTATCGAACATTTACATGCTCTATCTAAAAGTTTAAGGTTTATGTACACATGTTTGGGACCTTAAGCAACCACGATGGCGATGGCAATGAGGACGTGGGAAAACAAGAGATCTAATTGGCAGAACAATAGCTCAGCACGTGCATTTTGAATCTTTGTACATTTCTTAGCCATCCTATGCAAAACAACAACGTGAAATTGCCAAAATTTGCGTCGTCTGTGAGCTGAAACCGCGAAGGCAAATATTTTAATTTCCATTTGGAACTCAATGCTACTTTTATACGTCGTGCTGAAGTTGAGCTGTGATGCCGTATGAGACAGTAAGCTCATGCAGCTATTTTTGAAATTTTAACTAAGAGTAGAAATTTATTTTTTAATCGAAGTCTTCCTTGGCGTTGCCGTCCTGACTGCATAAGGTCCCTGTTGTTGAAACAGGCTGTTACAGCCACTGATTTCTTGCAACTTGAAGAATTTTGTGAATGCAAAGTTTTTTTTTCTAAAGAGAAAGTTTTCTATAAAACAAGTGGCATACTGGTTTGGATTTGTAGGGGATCTCATGCATAAAATAAATCACAATGACCTGTTTTGGAAGCAGCTGGTCAAAAGAACAGGACACCATTAAAGTTTGGCATCAGCTGTTATTCATTATAATAACATTATTGTCTTTTAAGCATAAAACGAAGTGTAGATTTTTTTGCTTAATGTGGATGAATTATTTTATTTTCAACCCAGACCTGAGCCAAAGCTTTTGCCAGAGAAAACCAATGCTGTGTCAACTGGTCGTGCAATGGAGGCTTTTCACTTTGTTAGTTATGTACCCATCAATGGTCGACTGTTTGAGCTGGATGGACTCAAACCGTATCCAATTGATCATGGTAAAACACTTTCAATTTTGTATTTACTTGATACATTATTTGACATTTCCCTTAACTGGCTGGTTGACTGACTAAAATTAATGCTAACTTACGGGTGAGGTGACTGACTGTCTCGCTGGCTGACTGAATGACTGACTGACTGAATGACGGACTAAAATTACAGACTGACTCACTGTCTGGCTAATTGAATGACTGACTGAATGGCTGACTGAACCACTGACTTACTGACTGACTGTCTGGCTGGCTGACTAAATGACTGACTGTCTGGCCGGCTGACTGAATGACTGACTGTCTGGCCAGCTGACTGAATGACTGACTGTCTGGCCAGCTGACTGAATAACTGACTGTCTGGCTGGCTGACTGAATGACTCACTGTCTGGCTGGCTGACTCACTGAAAGACTGATGTACATGTACTGTTTGAGTGATTGTCTGGCTAACTGAATGATTGGCTTGCTGGCTCATTTGAAATTGTCCGGACTAAAACATACGATTGAGGGGTTTTTATAATTTTCGCAACACATGTTCACTTGTTCAGGTCCTTGGGGGGAGAATGAAGAATGGACAGAAAAATTCCGCAGAGTAATAACTGAAAGGCTGGGAATAGCGACTGGAGGGTGAGTAGACACTAGAAAAATCTGGAATAAAATGCAGGAAAGTATGAGGCATGTTTTCTGATAGTAGAGTTAGCCTGTTCTCAATCTGGGGACTGGTGTAAAAGGGTGTGGCCATGGAAGAAAGGGGAAGGAGCAGCTTATTTTAATAAATTATTTAATATGTACAAGCAGGGCTTGACAGTAATGGTAGCCAACTAGCCACAGACTAGTTGAAATTCAGGTTTGGCTTGTGGTTTTTTATATCCACCAGCCAGTTTGGCCAGTAAACAATTGAAACTGAAATTTTCGTGACATCTAAGTTGTCACCAGCCACTTGGCTAATAGGTTGAGGAATTAGTGTCGAGCCCTGTACAAATCTTTGTAATAAAGGGGTTTTTTTTGTTTTTTGTTTTGTTTTGTTTTTTTTTTGTTTACAGTGAACCTTACCATGATATCAGATATAACCTGATGGCTGTGGTTGCTGATGGAATGACAACATGTGAAGAAAAGCTGAAAAGTTTGAGTATAGAAAGGTACATTGTACTGACAGTATTGTATCCAGACTGCTTACAGTGCACTGACTTGCTTTTTATAATACCATTAATTAAGTCACTAATTATAAATAAGATTGCCTTCTTAATTGTTTTTAAAGTGTCAATATGGATTTTAAAGTATTTTATATTCTGTTTTGTCTCTTGAAGGGAAAGCATATTGGAATCACTAAAGAAGGTACCAACTTTGAATTGTTGTTCATCTAAAATAATTTGCGAATATAGCAAGTGTGGCAACTTACCTACGATTGTTTTCCTTGAAATTAAAAATTTTCTGAATTCCTTGATTATTAAAAAACATTAATTTTCAAATAGATGCCTCATTTTAAATTTTGTTAAATATGATTTTGAAACAACAATGACGATTTACCGGTGTCACTAGTTTATAGTCAATTTTCACTGTAACACTTTTTTCGTGTAGTTATTTCTTACGTTCAAAAATTGTTTGCAAATCCTTGTAGCAATTATGTTGTCAATAATCATTTGGTTTAGTTTTGTGATACAGTTTGATCCTGCTACAAGGACTGACTCTGCTACCCTAACAGCAACCGAGTCTGGCTCCACAGAAAAATACCCAACCCAAGACAATACACAGCCTGCTACGACTACTACTACAACTACAGCTGCTGTAGTGACTGTTACACCAACTGTAGCCATGACAACGTCAGGGGGTATCACCACGAATGTTACCATGGAGACCACACCTAACAAAACCTCAAATGACTCTGAGACCTCCAAACTACGAGAGGCAAATAAAGGGAGGTCCGAAACGCGAACAGGGGACAACGAACAAGTAGAGGAGAAGGCGAATCAATCGTCGGCGACTAACGACAACTCGGCAATTGACGATACTTCGGAAAAACAGCTTGGTACAAATCCTGTAATTTCTCCCGAGCTGAAGCCTCCAGTTTCACCAACGGGAAGCATCCATTCTGACTCGGGAGCATCGCAAACTGGGGTAAGAAGTCATATCGATAAGTGAATTCTTGCTATAAATTCATCCATAGTTTTTATTCTTTTTTTTTCCTTTTTGGTTTGTTTTGTTCGTTAGGTTTTTTTTCCTCTTTTCAATTTTTTTTTCTTTTTCCTTTTCTTTTACTTTTTTTTTTTT